GTCTGGCTCTGCAATATCCAAGGAAGGAGACCTCACGACAAACGTCACAGAGATGGAGAGACTTCATAACCATGAAAGGTTTAGTCCAGTAGAAAGCAAGAACCATCCCAAGTGTTTATGTACTTCATGACATAGCCCCCAAATAGATGACGTAAGAGTTGACAGCACTGAAAGGAGAAACATCAAATGCACAGTCACAGGGAGGAGGACGAGAGGCCGTGACACTGGACAGGCCGATAGTGTGTGGCCAGCAAAGTCGTCCAAGATGGTGGCAAAGCTTGGGGTGAAGAGGAAGACAGTGGGGCTCCAAGCTCTCCATGAATGGGCGGAGAACGGCTGGGAAGTTGGTCAAGGAGACTAACGCTGAGGAGGTGAAGAGCAAGGGGGGGACAGCTAAAGGCCTGGGACCTCAAAGGAGTGGGGTGTTTGCAAGAAGGTGAAGGGTCTGGAACAGGCTCAGGGGACAAGGAAGACACCCACCCCACCTACTTAGCCCTGGATCCATGAGTTTTGCAAACTCAAACCACCCATGGGAGAGACCTCAGGGAAGAGGCTGTCAGGGCGTGGAGGGGACGGAAAGCGTGGAGAGTTGGTGGGGGTGGGGCATTGGTGATATCTTTCTTGTGTTGGCTGAGCAGGGCACACAGAGGAAGGATACAGAAATGGAGGGAGAGGCAAGGAAGCAGAAAGTATCACGGGAATGCCCACACGGTGAGGATAAGTGGCAGGGGAGGGGCATTTAAAAGAAACAGAGAGGATGCACATGGCGGATTGAGGCTGACAGGCCCTTTGAGGAAGGAGGGCCCGAGCCCGGCAGACAGAGACGCACCTTCCTGGGCCGGGTGGTGGTGGATCCAAAAACTCTAGCCCGAGGGTCCCTTCCGGCCCGTCCTTCCCTAACCAGCCATTGCAGGTGGGCTCTCCTTGGCACTCAGAAGCAGGCCTTGCCTCCCCCACCTCCGCATCCCCTCCCTTATGGTGGCGTCCCCGCCCACGGCTTTAATAACAGCCCCTGCACAGGTGATCCAGAATCCTCTCTCGCCTGGGCCACTGTCTGAGCGCCGAGCCCTGCAGCCCCCTCTCCTGGACAGCTCCTCCAGGCCACCGCCAGGAACTGCCGCTCACCATGGACCTGCATATGCCAGCACCTCCCCGTCAATCACTACTCAATCTATCAACCAGTCGAATAACAACGCCCTGGTCCTCATCTCGTGTTCCATCCAGCGTGAAGTCAGGGGCTTAGGAGCCATGTTGGATCCTCTCCCCCTGGCCTCCCACATCCAATCCATCCGCCACGCCCGGCTGATTTTACCTCCTGATTACACCTGGAATGCCTTCTCCTCCCCGCCAGCACCCTAGTCCGGGTGGCCATCATCTCCCTCAGGAGGGCTGCAGCAGCCCCTGCCTGGTCTGCCCCCTTCCACACCCCTTCACATCCTCCTCCATGGCTGGAGTCCTCTTGCCACTGGGGTTCTGATCATGTCACCCCACCCCAGAGCCCTCCAATTACAATGACAACAACCATAATAATAGTGACCAGCACTCACCGGGCACTCCCAAGGGCCCTGCACTCTTCCAGGCATGTTACCTCATTTACCCCCACAGGAGCCCTAGGAAGGGAGCCCTGTTATCACCTCAATTACCCAAGGGAGAAAACAGAGGCACAGAGAGCTTAAGCAACTTGCCCAAGGTCACCCAGCTGGCAAAAGGCAGAGAAATGGTTGAAACCCAGGCAGCCTGGGGTCACAGCCCACACCCTTAACCACCACACCATCCTGATGCACAGAGGAGACAAGAAACCTCCCAGCTGAAGCTCAGAAGGCCCTGGAGACCAGGCTTCCCACCTCCCCAGCCTTCCTCCCCTGCCGTGACCCCTCCCACCGGCCCCACTGGGCTCCAGACTCCTCCAGCCTGCCTGCGCGCCAGGCTTCCTCCCCACGCGGGGCCTTTGTACGTGCTGCGTCTGTTGCCTGAAATCCCCCGACTGATGCCCACCCACCCCGACCCCGTCTCCTACTTCCCTTCCAGTCAAACCACTCCTCTAGGGAACTTCGGCTGACTCGGTGCCCTCACGCACGCACTCCCATGCACCCTGAATTTTTCCTCCACGCATTTTTAATACAGGCTGTATTCGTACGTCGTGGGTGTGTGAATAACTGTTCTCCCAGATAGCCTTAAGTGTGGCCAGAGCAGCCATTGTGTCTTCCTTGGTCCCAACGTGTCCCCGCGGCTGTCCCACTGGCAAGCACTCGGTAGGCACTCCAAAAATGTTTGCGGAATGGATGAACAAAGCCCTGGCAGAGGGAGGCGGTGGACCCGGCGCCCGGCTCCGTGCCCTCCTCGCCTTTGCACGCTGACCGCCAGAGGGCGCCGTAACCCGAGAAATGGCCCGGCCGCCTGGGTCGGCCCGCAGCCAGGGTCGCCTCCTCCGGGGATGGGCCGGGTGGCTCCCCGAAGCGCTGCGGGGCGGCTGAAGCCTGAGCCCCGGTTTGGCCCCTCCCCTGCCGCTCTCCGGCTGTGTGAGCGGCGGACGCTCGGCGCAGTGCTCCCATCTGTCAACCGGGAGTGGCGAGCCAGCCGCGCGCCCCCAGAGCTGGCGCCTCGCGTCCCACTGAACTCTGGCGACGGCAGAAACCCTCGCTGCCGCTGGGAGAACGGGGCCCAACCAGGGCATGGAAGACAGCGATCGCTAGGGACGGCCTGTGGAGGCCCTCCGAGACACTTCGTGACACCAAGTGAGATGTTTTAACAGACCCAAAGAGTCCTAATCTCGAGGTCAACCTTGATTGACCCAGACAAGGCTGTTGGTTTTGTAGCATCAGCGATGCCATCGGGGGTAATGTCCTTCCGTCCGCAGGGCAGCGCGGGTCCCTTCAGATCCCTGTGAGAAAGGCTGACCGCCGTCCCCGGGTAGAGGGGAGCCATGGAAGGGTGAGGAGGGAGAGACGTGGTCGGATTTGCAGTTTCCAGCACGCGGAGCAAGGGCCGAGAGGGCGGGGACGGGGCTCCCGGCAGACGCTGGGTCCGAGTCCCCACCCACTCCCCACAGCCGCGGGACATTGGAGACTGACTTAGCCTGCAGTGCCTCAGTTTCCTCATCTGTTAACAGACGATAAGAGGGGTGTTTATAAGGATTAAATGAGAGGACCCGTGTGAAGCGCACGCCTGGAGGGAGCGCTCGGCCCACGGTAGGCATTGCTGTCAGTCCGAGAGAGAAATCGTGATCCGTGAGCGTGTCGTTTGTGAAGACCAAAGGGATGAAGCCTTGAAGGCCCTCTGTACGGGCCCCGGAGCACAGGGGCGCCTTATAACACGACCCGGCCGTCCCCGTGCCCTGCGCCAGGTGGTCCAGCGCTGGGACCGCCGCCTGGCCTGGCCTCCCACCCCCTCCTCCGGGCGCCCTGGCGGGACCGCCCTCGTGACCCAGCTTCCTGTTTGCGACGCCAACGCTGGAGGGAGGAAGTCGGTGCCCCCACCCTGGGGCCCGAGGGCAGGAATGTGGACGTGCTGACGTCAAAGCGTGTCCCGGTCCCGGGGAAGTCGGGATGGGAAGGGCTTCCTGCAAACCAACTTTGATCCCAGGCCTGAGCTGGGGTTGTAAATCAGCCCTGAGGGAGCCCAGCCACCGAGCTTCCTCTGATGAACGCCCTGGGGTCGAGTCAGGGTCCTACCCCCACACCGCTGTGCCGGCGGGCGCATCACCTGCCCCTCCTAGCCTCAGTTCCCTCGCCTGTCGAGCAGGGATATATGTGCATCTCAGCGTCCTTCGTCCATCGGATACATCTTGCAGGGCTGAGCCTGCCTGGCTGCGGGGGGCTCCTTGGGGGAAGGTCCCCTGGCTGGTGACACGGGGTGGAGGCTCTGAGGCTGCCAGACAGAGGCACGAAGCATTTCTGGAGGTGGCTGCAGGGAGGTTTCCCAGCATTAGGCCTGTGACTCAAGCTGAAGCCTAGGCCCAGGCACTTCCTGACCTAGTGACTCAGTTTCCCCTGCAGAGGCATCCCACAACGCCTGCTTCTCAGCCTGGCAGAGGCATTGAGGCCTGGCTAGTGTGTGTCTGTGGGGGTCCCTAGTGATGCCATTTATCAAGTGCTTCCTGAGCACTCAGGGCTTTAGGTATGGGTTGTCACTTGGTTCCCAATCCAGCTCGAAGAGGTAGAGACTGCGATTAGTCCCATTTTACAGAAGGGTAAACTGAGGCTCGGAAAGCTGAAGGAAGTTGCCCAAGATCTCAGAGCTGGGAAGTGGCAGAGCCAGAAAAGAGTGCTGCTCCGACATCGTGGCAGGCCCTCCCTTGGAGAGGCCTCCTGACGGACAGGCGGGGCCCTTGACGGTGGCAAGGCCATCATTCAGAGTGCGCACCGGGAATCTATCCCACAGAGGGTCTCCCAGCCCCTATGCCCACCTGCCCTGTGGGCCCCGGATCGTGAGGAGTTGACGTGGACAGAAACTTGGGCTCAGGTCGCCTTCCCTGTTTCTCGTTGTTCACTTGGATCCCCCCAGCACTGGGCTCAGGGCCTGGGATCAGTCTCCCCTCTGCCCCACACTCTCTGGAATCCATGGTCTAGATTCTCCACCTCTGGAGCCTCAGTTTCCCCAGCTGTGATGCTGGGTGAGGGAGTGCACGCCCAAGGTGGGCAGAAGGATGTGCTGAGGAGGACTCAGAGCAAGGCCCTGGGCATCCAGAGAGGGAGTAGCTGTGAGTGGACCTTCCCGGGAAGGTCACCAGGAGTAGTTTCCAGAACCTTCTACAGCCCTCCAGCCTCTCCTGCCCACCCTCTCGCTCCCTCTCTGCCTTTCTCCAGGACGCTGCTCAGCCCCACTTTGGGGCCAGACAGACCTGGGTTCGAATCCACTGGCCAGTCGCTGGCCGTGTGATGTTGACCATTCTTTCTCTTGCTGAGCATGCTTCCTCATCTCTCTATATAAATACATGAGGAGAAGGCAGCCACATTTCAAGGCTGTTGGAGATTAAGACATCGTGTCTTGAAAGCACTTGGTACAATGTCTGACAATCATTTAATAAATCACAGCTATTGTTATTGCTATTGCTGGCATGCATTTATAAATGCCCAGACAGCAGGAAGGGCTCCTTGGGGCGTAAGAGCCCTTTCCCCAGGTGCCCAGCAGGTGGCGGCAGAGGCCCCTTGTTCCATGAAATCTTCACATCGTTGGTGAGAAACCCAATTTAGAAGTTGTGGAGGTGACCGAGCTTCAGTGCCTGTTAATCCCACCCTCAGAAGCTCCTGAGCACCCCAGCAAAGGCCCCAGGCCCGAGGCAGGGAGTGCAAGAGAAAGGCAGGGACCTCTGGACAGTGGGCACCTGGGGAAGGAGAGTACTGCCCACTGCAAAAGAAAGCTTGGTTTCAGCTCTTGCGGATAAGTACCCAGAAGTGGGGTGGCTGGATCATATGGTAGTCAACTTTTAACTTCTTGAGGAGCCTCCATACTATCTTCCATAGCGACCGCATCTTTTTGCATCCCCATCAACAGTGTGCGAGGGTTTCAATTTCTCTACATCCTCACCAACACTTGTCTTTGTTTTTTTGGTAACAACCATCCTCACAGGTATAAGGTTTTGATTTGCATTTCCCTGATGATCAGTGACGTTGAGCATCTTTTCATGTACCTGTTGGCCATTTGTGTGTCTCCTTTGGAAAAATTCAAGTCCTTAGTCCATTTTTCAATTGAGTTATTCAATTTTTTGCTGTGGAGTTGTAGGAGTTCCTTATTACTTTGGCTATATACCCCTTATCAGACACATGGTTGGTAAATATCTTCTCCCACTCTGTAGTTGCCTTTTCACTCTGTTGATTGTCTCCTTTGCTGGGTGGAAGCTTTTTAGTTTGATGTTCGCTGTAGCACTATTCACGACAGCCAAGATGTGGGAACAACCTGCATGTCCATGGACAGAAGAAGGGGTAAAGAAAATGCAGTATATACATACAATGGGATATTATCCAGCCTTAAAAAGCATGGAAATCTTGTGATATGTAACAGCACGGACGAAATTTGAGGACATCGTTCTAAGTGAAATAAGCCAGTCACGGAAAGACAAGTACTGCCGAGTTTGGCTTATGTGGGGTCACCAGAGGAGTCAAACTCATGGAATCAGAGAGTACGCTGGCAGTTGCCAGGGGCCGGGGGCATGAGGGAGGGGAGGGGTAATGAATGGGTATAAAGTTTCAGTCGTGCAAGATGAATAAGGTCCAGAGATCGTTGTACAACATTGTGCCTCTAGTTAACAATACTGTGCTGTGCATTTAAACATCTCTTGAGAGTCAATCTCATCCTAAGTGTCTTACCGTAATAAAACAAAAATTTAAAAAGTAAATAAAGCAAGCTCAGGTGAAAGCCATCACCGAAATCTGAGAAAGTACATTATCATCGTCACTCAAGGGGACATTACCATTAAGATTCCCATTCTAGAGAAGTGAAACTGCAGGTCCAAGAGGGGAGGTGATTTGTCCAATGTCACACCAGTCAGGGAGTGGCAGACCCAAGACTTGAACCCAGGTCTTCCCCACAGGGGCAGATGGTTCCCTGGGCCCCGGAAGCCTCAGAGCCATCTGGAGGGCCATCCCCCCTCAGGGCTACAAGTTCTCTGGCTGCAGCCCCTCAGGATCCCTTGAGCTCACCCATCAGCAGGTCCAGTCCACTTAACCCGCAGAGCCCCACTCTCCCTGACGCCACCACTCCAACACACCCTGTCATCTCTCCCCGGATGGCCCTGTTTCCTTCCTTCCTCATCCTGTGACAGGCTAACATGATCTTGTTTACCTGTGTGTGTTCATCTCCTCCATCAGACTGCACCCTAAACCCTGCGAACCTCTCCAGCCTTGTGCCTCAATCCCCCAAACCCTGGACTCCACATTCCGCCACTTTGGTGTGCTTACGTTTTCCTGAACAAACACACTGTGTGTGAGAGCAAGCGCGAGTCCATCTCACTCATCCCTCTCTCCCCAGAGCTTACACTGCACCTGGCACAGCAAAGGGGCTCTGTGAAGATGAGTGGATGACGGACAGAGGTTGAATGGATGTGGACAGATGGATGGATGGATGGATGGATGGATGGATAGAGAGCTAGATGGATGGATAGACAGACAGATAGATGGATGGATAGACAGACAGACGGATGGATAGGTGGATGGATGGATGGATGGATGGATGGATGGACAGATGGATGGACAGGTGGACAGATAGGTGGACAAAAGGATGGATGGATGGATGAATAAATGGATGGATGGATGAAAGACTATTTGGCTTGAGCCTGTGTTGTCCCCCGACTCACAAGGAGGTCAGAGCATATAGTGACCCAGGTAAAGGGTCCTCCAGTGTGGGACTATCCAGAGTGGGGGCAGGTGTCAGTGCTGGGGATAGGCCATCAGGAGACGGTGGCAACCTCTTGTGTGCACAGAGCAATGGTGAGTGAACCCTAGAGCATCTCCTGGAAAGGGCAGGAGCAGGTGGAGTTCCCCGAGCTGGGCGCGGGGCAGCGAATATGCTGAGGCTCTGACTCAGCCAGGCGCTATGGGAGTTTGAGAAACTGGGTACAAACACCCAGCCCATGCACAGACACGGCCCTGGACAAGGCACGAAGGACTGTCGCTTGTGGTGCCATGACTGAGCTTCACCGTGGTCCTTGAAGCAGGTGGGATTCTGCCCATGGGGCAGAGGAAAAAACCGAGGCTTCCAGAGGGAAAGTAACTAGTCCAAGACCACCCAGCCAGAGAATGGCAAGGCTGCGATGGGGGCCGGGGCAGGGTGACCCAGTCTTTGCCTACCGTGCCGGGTGGGGCCTCTCTGGGGAGCCAGGCTCCTAGGTGGCTCAGGAAGGGGTGGAGGCTTGGGGCACAGGGACTGTGGCGCCAGGCTTGAGAGAGTCCCCCAGTGCAAACTCCAGGCCTTCCCCTCCAAGCTGGCCCAGCCCCCGAATGACCTTCCCCAGTGCAATGTGACCACGTCGTGCTGTCCTTTGGAAACCTTCAGCGGCTCCCAGTGGTACAGGGTCAAGCCTCAGATCTCCATTTGGCCTTCTGGTTCCTTCCTACCGTGACCCCATGGCCCTCTCCAGCCTCCTGTTCAACCCCAAGCCTTGTGCCCTGCACGCCACCACCCTGACGTGCTGTGGATTCTCCTGAATTAACACACCACGCGTGCTCTCTGAGGCCGCACACCTTTACACGGATGAAGCCCTCTGTGGGGGGGCGCCTTCCCGCTCTCCTTCACCCCGATGGATCCTGCACAGTCTTCAAGGTGTAGGTCTGGCTTCAGCAACCGTGTCTGACCCGCCCCCGTCACCTGGGCTGCTAAGGCAGTCCACCCCTCCATGCTCCAGTTACATGCTCTGCTGAACTCCACCATCAGGGCAGTCACCACAGAGCAATAATTATCCGGCTACCAGTCTGCCTCCTCTACTAGGCTGTGAATTCCAGGAGGACGGGCTTCGTGACGTACTCACCTCTGGAACCGCACGGCCCGACACAGCACCTGGCTGGAGTCTTTGTTATTATTTGTGGAAGGAAGGAGGGAGGAAGAGAGGAGGGAGGGAGGAGAAAGGAGGGAGGATGGGAGGAGGGAGGAGGAGGATGGCAGGGAGGATGAAGGGAGGGCGGGAGGAAGGAGAGCACTTTACAGTTTGCGCAGTGTCCCTTCACGGATATTATTTTATTGAGAAGTTGGCCGGAAAGGAAACCTGCAGGGACGGGTCCACCTGACGCCACAGTGCTTTGGAGATTTTTGCTAAATCTGCAGGCCACGTATTTTTTAACTTAACCTTTGTTTTTAATTGGCTCGTTGAACTAAATGTATCTTAAAAGGAAATGTTACATCACTACCCCAAATGGAAAACTAGACTCGCTTCCTATCAACAGAAAGTTGCCATAAAATGAATATAATAGAGCTTACCCCGTGCCAGGCACTCCGGGGGGCACTTTACCAACATTAACTCATTCATCCCCACAACGATGCTACGATGGGGTGCCGTTATAGCTCTAGTAGGCAGACGGGGAGACTGAGGCACACAGCTCTTAAGTAACTTGCCAAAGGTCACAGCTGAAAAGTAAGCAGGGTTACCATTCGAAACCAAGCAGTCGGGCTCTAAGAAACAAACAGATAAATAAAACAACGTTGTGGCTTCCCTCTAAATAGCGTTGCCTTCCGCAGGCTCCTGCTTGAGGCCTCTGCCTCCTTGTTCCAAAGGAATATCAGCAAGTGCTGAAGAGGCGTTCAAGCCACAGTAGCACCACCTGAGACATTCTCCTTGAAGTCGGCAGAGAGTGGAAGGAGAAGCAGAAAAGGAATGCATTTCTCACAGCGTGATTGACGGTGATTTAACGCCAGGCCTGTGTGGAACCGTCTCTGCTAGAGCCAGGAGAACGCGGCCACATTCGGGAAACCCTGCAGCAGAGGCGCCCCCACAGCACGACCGGCGCCCAGCGTTTTAGCTCAGGACATCGTCCACTGTCGCAGGAGGCAGAGCCAGAGAGCAGCTAAGCAAGGTGTTAAACTAAATGAACAAGAACAGGCAAAAACCTAATATTAAATGCAAATAAAAGCAAGTTAATCTAACTGTAGAGCAAATTGGTCTCATATACTGTGATAGCATGATACCACAGAGAGCAGAAAAACAGTGACTCCAAGCAACCTCTCAACACAGCCGAAAGACAAGGGCACCCTTGCTCTAAAGGCAGCAGAACAGGAAGGAAAGCCTAAACGTTACTCGATAGGTTTACTGGTGTTCGCCACGGTTGAAACTATTTTGTGGTTGTCGTAGCACCGGGCAAATGAACACATATATTAATGTTGATGGGAGTCAGGGTTTTCAGCAAGGGGGCGACAAATATGGAAGGGGAAGATGAGAAAGAAGCCTGTGGTGCTGGACTGGAATTTGAGAGGAAGGTATGAGCTCATGATGTAAATATATTTAAACACGAATGAAGGTTGATTTCTACCTCTGTCTGCTGAAAGGGCGTGGGGTCAACGACACCCCAGTGACAATGAGCCCACCTAGCACCCAGATCTTGGTTTCTAAAGATCACTCCCCAAGGAAAGGAACCAGGGCAAGTTGGGGAAATGGATGATTCCAAGGCTGAAACAGGAAAAATACAAGAGGAGCCCAGAACATCAAGTTTTGGCAGAAAACAAGGAATTGCCAGAAGAATGATGGGGACACATGAAAAGGATAGAGACCACCATTGCCAATGGTGGAACAATTTGAGTATTGACTTAGAGGGGACAACTGAGCACTGAGCAATGAAGGCAACAGGTTATAACATATTGACTAAGAAAGAATGCATAGAGTTACCCAGATAGATATAAAATGGAGGGAAAAGGGAGGAAGGAAAGATGACGGAGGGAGAGAAGAGTCCCAACTAACAGACAGAGAGGGAGTGATGGATCTATAAAATCATCACCTGACTACTGTCGTAGGAAAAACGCATTCATTGTCACCGGTGGGTGTGGAGGAATCGTCAAGTCAGAAGCCTCAAGGAATGATGGAGTTAGAAAATCATTTGGCTCCATGAGAGTAAAACCTGATTTAGGTGAGAAGCATCAGCGGGGAGAAGTCCGTTGTGGGTGGGCAGGAATGTCCTCGGGCTCAAAGCACCCGTTTCCATGTTACTTATTAATCCCCGAAGGGAAAGCGTACTTCACAGTGGAGAAATCTGGCAGATACCAGTTCAGCAAAGAGAACATTTGGAACCATCGGATGTCACGTGCCTCTCGACGTGAGCACTGAGACCTTGGCGGCGCTGCCAGACTTTCCTGCCAAAAACGCAGGACCTGGAGCTGATCATGAGGAAGCAACCCGACAAACCACATCCAAGGACAAGGACGCTCGACAAAACAATGGGCCTGTGTTCTGCAGAAATGTCAAGGTCGCGAAAGACACA